TACAGTTCGCGAACACAATAAAGGATACAGCCCTAGGTGCTATGGCTGTGGGGGAAAGGGGCCATCTTCGATCCAGCTGCCCTAAGCGAACCCTAGAAAGGGAAGGTGAACGATCTCAGAAGGGAAGTGCGGCTAACATCACCGCCCAGCAGCAGCCGGGATACGACTTTACTATCAGACATCGTAGCGGGAAATCTCATGGCAACGCAGATGCATTGTCAAGAAGACCTTGTCCTGAAGATTGCAGACATTGTACTAGGCAAGAGAGTAAGGAAGTGGTATCCGTGAGGATGCTCAGGACAGACCACCTCAGCAACGAGTGGAGGGACAGCCTACGACATGCACAGCAGGAAGATCCGGACATCAACCCGATTCTGGAATGGATGAAGGCCCGTGCTACCAAGCCTAAGTGGAGCGACGTCTCAGCGATGAGTTCGACCACTAAAAGCTATTGGGCCCAATGGGACAGCTTGCTGCTTCAGGATGGAGTTCTGTGCCGTAAATGGGAAAATGTTCGGGGAGACAGCTGTCATTTGCAAATGGTCGTCCCTAAAGCTAAAGTACCGGATGTTCTACAGCTGTGCCATCTGGGAGTTAAAAGAACTCTACTGAAGATCCAAGAACGGTTTTACTGGGTCCACTGTCGAAACGACGTCGAGGACTGGTGTCGCAAATGTACAAGTTGTGCGGCTGTAAAGGGACCTCAGACTCGTAGTAGAGGTGCGTTGAAGTTGTACAATGTTGGTGCACCATGGGAGAGAATAGCCATTGACGTGGCGGGGCCGTTTCCGGAGAGTGAAAGCGGTAACAAGTATTTCATGGTTGTGATGGATTACTTCACTAAGTGGCCAGAAGTCTTCGCCATTCCAAATCAAGAAGCTTCAACAGTTGCAGATAAACTAGTTCATGAAGTCTTCTGTCGTTTTGGAGTACCTTTAGAGATTCACAGCGATCAAGGAAGGAATTTTGAGTCTCAAATATTCCAGGAAACTTGTCGAGTTATGGGTACTCATAAAACAAGAACGACTTCTTATCACCCGCAATCTGATGGAATGGTGGAACGATTTAATCAGACATTGGAGAGGTACCTAGCGAAAGTTGTCGACAATCGGCAACGAGATTGGGACAAGCACATACAACCGTTTTTGTTGTCATATCGAAGCGCTGTTCACGAAAGTACAGCAGTGACAACAGCTTTCGCAAAATTTGGAAGAGAATTACGGCTGTCTGCAGACCTGATCACCGGGATACCACCTGATGCCCCACGCAGTATAACCGATTATGCAAATGACTTGCGGAACAAAATGAATGACATTTATGAGCACGTCAGACAATCGGGCCAGCAAATGTCTGAAAAGATGAAAACCCGGTACGACCGCAAAATGAACAACAAAGGGTTCGACGAAGGTTCACTAGTGTGGTTGCACAATCCAGTCCGCAGCAAAGGGAAATCTCCTAAGCTTCAAGCTAAATGGGACGGCCCGTACCGGATTGTAACCAGGATCAACGATGTAACCTACCGAATACAGAAAGGCGCAAGAGGGACTCCTAAGATCGTCCATGTGGATCGCTTGGCGCGTTATTATGGGGCCGATAATGCTCGGGACGAGCATGTGTTAGGAGGTGGCAATGTTGCGCGCCTAAGTTGACGTCATGTACCCGGCACTAGCGCCATCTAGTGTCGGGGACGAGAGCGAGGGGAGCTTTCCAGAAAATGACATCACTAATATTTCAACCGACAGCGCCATCTAGTATCGAAACGAAGAACTAAGTTTCTAGAAGCCCGACACTCGAACTTTCGGCGCCTAGTCGATTGGCACGCGTATTTACTTGAATATTCTGGATGTTTCGTTGATAATGTGTATTTAAAGGCGCTTCAAGATGCGATCGAGGAAGTATTGAATTCGGCGAGACAAGCGACGCTTCGGAGCGAAATAAAGTGAATCAGTGTGATGAATTATTAGTGTTTTAAGTTTTATTTGGTGTAAAGAAAATTAGTGTTAATTTTGGTAATTCAATCGGCAGTTTTTATTGTCACGAACCTCAAGCGCGTAACAATAGTAAATAAACATTTTTGTACTCGTACTTCATTACATTGATTCACTTTTTCATAAATGCTTAGGTAACACGTGGGCTATAAGCATAGTGTGAAATGCAAATGCAAAATACTTATTTTTATTTTGCATTTGAAATACTTTTTTCAAAAGTATTTTCTATTTTATGTTTATATTAAATGTACGCGTTATATTAATTGTAATTGTCGAAATTGGAATGTTGATAAACAGAAACATGGTTTGTGCTCCTAAAACTTAAACATTTTATTATAATAAATGGAATTCCTCAAAACATTTCATAAAATAATTGTTAATCAAGCCTTCAAAAATTCGGGTTATTCCGTTTATCCACCCTAAGGAATCCAAAATAGGGTGGATACTCGGAAACGCGTGTTCGTTTATCCACCCTAGACGAGGGGAAAATTAATTGCAATATTTCTTTTATCATAAGATATCTCCAAAACGACGTCAATTATATCACATCGAATGATATGTAATTGAACAATTGAACGTATTTAAGTTTTTACCTTTAAACAAGAAATATGTACGCATTTTTATAAGAATGCTTATGTCTACTAAGTAATCTTGGGCCAGTTTCTATCATGTTTTTATAAATGACTGTACACAGCCGAGGGGCGAAATCGATAGAAAAATAAAATACGAATTCTGATTATCCACCCCGTCTGGGGTGGATAAACGAAAACGGAATAACCCGAAAATTCTTGTATCTGTATTAACCTTAACATTTAGTTTAGAGGCTATGGTCCTTGAGATATTAATACTCCCTTTGAGCGAATTGGAGGCCATCATCCTAGTATATACTAGTACCTAGTATATATTATCGCTTAAATACACATGTCACTATATACCTAACTATAGCAATACAACTTTTATTTTTATAAACTCTAATTATATTATTTTTATAGACTCAAATTATTTCCATCACAGTTAATAAATACACTTATTCGTACGAAAATCTTTAAAAATGGCCTTCCACTTTTCTTCTGATAGGTCTGATGAAGCCCCATAGAAAAATTAAAGGCACGAATTCAGAAGTTATTACGTGAAAAATATTCTATTTATTTCAGTAAGTACTTTGAAGTTGATTTTATTTTCTTGTTGTTGGTTACACTCAAAAGGGTCAATTTTTGGCCTAAGAAATATCTCAACCTCAAGGAAACAACAAAAGTTTATCTATAAAAAACATTTCATCTCGTATTTCTCCACCCTTACGGGTAGTATTTCTGCAAATTTGTATAGGACCTCTGAAATAAAATCTAGTTAACCCGCACGTAACAAGTATTCCTATGGCCTATAACTAATTGTTCCGGGTCTTGATATTGTTCTTGGGAACAAGAAAAATTCTAGTGTGTAAGTTAACGATGTTTTATAAAAAAAATGAATAAATAAATCAAAATCGATTAACAATTGACAAAGAAAGCATCGCGTCTGTCATATAGAGTTGAATTAGGAGCCACCTTTTTTGAAATTTGCTAAATGCGCGTGTCTTAATAAAACAGGAAATAAAAACAATATTTGTAAAAATATCTTTATTTACCTCTTTAGACAAATTAGGAAAATATAATAACACACACATAATAAAATGTTACGACCTTATCAAATATTGGACGGAGATATCGATTTTATAAAATCTAGTTTTACTTAAAAAAGTTATTCTTTAAAATCGAACATAAACGGGGCTCCGAGTTAGTTTGAAAATTCAAATCAGAGAATAACAAATCAGGAGATGGGCAACAGCGTCTTCCTAATAAACAACTCGAAAATAAAAGACTGCAGATGCCAAACCCGCCTGCCAAGCGTGGCAACTATGGCAAATATGGGAGATATTGTGAGGCAATCTATAGGGAGGCTATGTTTCTATATTTATGTTCAGTAGTGGACGTGGATAGGCTGCAATGACGAATGAATGAAAATAAATCGAATTATTGATTTACTGTGAGATTGTATAAAACAGCACCATTGTCATTGGGTTAGAACTTCCATTAACTAAGTAGTTAAATTTTTACCATATACAGACAGTGGATTCAGTAGACTGTTAAAATAATATAAATCAATGGTGCTTTGAGTTACATCTGAACCAACAACTTCAAGACATAATATCCAAACACAGACAAGAACCAAAGACAAAATGTTCTTGCTGCATGAAAATATCCTATACCTTAAAACATTACAAGTAGAAACCAACCACATCAATGTTCATTACTTATAAAAATTTTATGCTTACTTTTAGTCATAAAATGCATTTGTACACAAACATTTTTACATTATATATGTTGTATCTTAGCCAATAAGTAAATATACCTCCTTAAGACAATTCATAACTATGATATATTTACAATTAATGTGATTTTTAACACTTTTATAGTAGTCGCCAATAATAGAACAATAACTATGGAATACGTATCAAATATAGTGTTATTCCAGAGTTTTGGCGGGAACTGGACCGACGACGGATTATTGCTCCTATTTTATCGTTTAAATAATTGTTTGAAATGAATTTTGATTCGTGAAAGTAATGCGATTTCGTGTATTGTCTGTGCATGTGAACTATTGAGAAAACGATGAAACAAGATTTTTCCACTACTTTGTTAAACCATTTAAAAGGGTGGGATGACACAATATTTTCATCTATACAACAAATAAATGAATTGAATTTTCTGTTTGTAATGTCAAAATAACAGCTTTTTACTAAATGCATATGAAAGTATATATGGTATGCACTTATAACAAAAAAAAATTAGGAGTTTGTCTGTCTATCTGATTTTTCCGGTTAATCCCCAAAATGGCTCGTCCAATTTTAACGGGACTTTCACTGGTATATAGTTGATGTAATAAGGAGTAACTTAGGCTACTTTTATTTTAGAAAAATAATCAGGGTTCCGCCCAAAGAATTAAACCCCATAGTCTAATCGTAAGCTAATATCTTTACAAACTAGTTTCCATTTGCATTACCCTTAAACTACTTAATTTACTTTCTACAAGATCTAAATCATTGAGCCTTTCTAAGGTAGTAACGTTGGACGGTTGAGAAATATTAGATGTTAGGGTACTACTGTCTGGCTCTGTACCACTTGTATTTATTGGAATATTCCAAATGTGTTTTGTTACAGTTGTATTCATTTTATCATTATCATTTAATCTCAATACACCGTCACCTTGTCTATTTTTATCATATTTGTTGGATTGTACCGTAGAATCGACTTGATATGTCCTTGCACAAAATGTAGTGGTCAAGTCATTAATCTGGTTTAAAACCTCTGAAAATAAAGTTGTATTTCAGTAATATAAACACTAATAGAGATTCGTCACATGATACAAGAGTAAATGAATAAATTTTTTTAAGATTATAATATAAGACCATACCTGTTATCTGCAAACCTAAAGATTCATCCATCATAGTATTTTCTTCACAGATTTTTTTGGACTCATCAAATGTTTCTTTTTCAACGTTTAACTTGTGTCTATTTAATACTGCCATTCTCAAAGATGGTCGTTTCTTCAAAGGTGAATAAAAAAATGTCAAAGAATCTCTGTTGTCTTGAGCTTTAAAATCTGATGCATTACACGCTTCATCCAATTCTATTGTAAAATTGAGATTTTGTATCTTTTTGTGCTTCATATGCTTGGTCAGCTTGAATAAAGGAGTTTTGCTTGATGAACGTAAATTTGTTGTTCTGCCAAAGATGCTTTTTGATAGAATTTTTTGCCCTATTTTAGGCGTATTCACATATGTTTTGTACTTTTTGACGCAAACTGTATGTGTGACATTATTTTCAAACCCTTCCTCTTCGTCTGCAAAGAATTCATCATGTTCTTCTGGATGCAATAAGACATTAATTCTGTTGACTATTGTATAAAGGAGTTTTAGACGTTTATGCATTTGTTCTATGGAAGTATTATTTTCTATAGACTTAGTTTTCTTAATGTTGTATACAAAATCGTTTCCAGAACTAAGGAGATCGCTCACAACCTTACATTCCAATTGCACTGAAAGAAAGCGTTGCGTAAAAACAATAGCAAAAGATGAAAGAAATCTTGTGGCATGCAGTGGGATAACATGTTCCACCGAAAAGTATGCCGTGCAGTGGCGGTGTACGTTAATCCACTATCTCCTACCATCCCGAACAAACTGCAGTTGCCAACCTGCTTACACAGCGTGGCAACTACGACAAATATCCCGTTTATGAGGCTATCTTTGGGAGAGGCTTATGTTCAGAAGCGGACTTTTGATGAGCTGGAATGGTAGGATATGGTATTAACAATACAATTTTATACGTGGTAGAGCCATGCTGCAGTTATATTAGTAGTATAGTTGTAGCTCGAATGGGTCGGCTCGACCGGGGAAGGACCACGCTCTCACAGAATCATCATCATCATCATTGCAGCCCTTCACAAGTCCGCTGCTGAACATAGGCCTCCCCCAAGTAACGCCACAAAGCACGATCCTGAGCCACCTGCATCCATCGACTTCCTGTATGTCTTACCAGGTCGTCACTCCATCTAGTGGGGGACGAAACATAATTTCGCCCTACACTACGCCTACCGGTACGAGGCTGCCACTCGAGAACCTTTCTTCCCCATCGGTTATCGGTTCTTCGAGCTATATGGCCGGCCCATTGCCACTTCAGCTTACTAATCCGTTGGGCTATGTCGGTCACTCTGGTTTTACTATCCTCATTTCTGAGTCTATCACGCAGAGAAACTCCGAGCATAGCCCTCTCCATAGCTCGCTGAGCGACCTTGAGCGTCCTCATACGGCCAGCAGTGAAGGACCACGTCTCCGGTCCGTAAGTCATCACTGGCAACACGCACTGGTTGTACACTTTAGTTTTCAGAGATTGAGGTATACCTGACGAGAAGATGTGTCGTAATTTCCCGAACGCTGCCCAGCCGAGTTGAATCCGTCGATTGACCTCTCGGTCGAAGTTGGACTTACCTAGTCGGACTATTTGTCCCAGGTAAACGTACTCGTCAACAACTTCGAGCATAGTGCTCCCAACAACTACCGGCATAGGTGTGACATGGACATTAAACATGATCTTTGTTTTGTCCATGTTCATCTTAAGACCTATCCGTTGGGAGGCACTATTGAGGTCATTGAGCATAGTGTTTAAGTCCTCCAGCGATTCTGCCATAAGGACTATATCGTCGACAAATCGAAGGTGAGTGATGTACTCGCCATTGATGTTAATACCGTATCCTTTCCAGTTCAGTAGCTTGAAAACGTCTTCCAAAGCAGCGGTGAAGAGTTTTGGGGATATAACGTCACCCTGTCTTACACCTCTCTGCAGTTGGATAGGTTTCGAGCTCTGGTTCTGTACTCGGATAGCCATCGTAGCCCTACTGTACAAACAGTTCAGCACTTCGATCGACAGTCAATTTGGCACCGCTGAAGAGACTGTAGCAACGCCCAAAATTCGACGGAATCAAAGGCTTTCTCATAGTCCACATACGCCAAATTCAAATATAATTAAATAAATTCGACACTAGATGGTAGCACTTTGTGTCGTGTGAACTAAAAATATAAAGGTAAGTCGAGCTCAGTATTGGTAAAACAATCATACGAAGGTGCTGAAATTGTTTTTTTTTTGAAGTTGGTTTCAGTCCTAAAGAATTTTTAATCGCCAAAATATTACCTTTATAGATTTTATAATCATTTTGAAAACAGGCCGCCATCTACCGTCAAGTAAAAGAACAATCAAAAATAAAATAAAAAGACAGGGCCGTAATTAGAATCCAATTATTTTACCCAGTTACCCACGGCTTAAAATGAAGGAAATATTACTTAGGCTGATTTTTTACGAAAGGTCTACAATGTATATAAATACTTAAATATTTAGCATTTTATAAAGTCAACCTTCAAGAAATATTCATTTTATCCTTAGTAAAATAAAGTCTTCTTGAAATTAAATATTTTATGTACAGTATTCGGTCTCCTTGAAACTTTTCTTAAGAAAGACAACTATTATAACAGTTGTAGTTCAGTTAGTTAAAAACGCTCACCTAGGTTATTTTATTTACTTTATATTCTACATTTCCATCCGAAGATAATCTTAAACAGCAATGGATAGCAAAAATTAATAGAAAAGACTGGACTCCGACAAAATATACAAAGATTTGTTCGTGCCATTTCAATGATGACGACTTCACAGTTACAAAAAAAGGCTTTAAAAAATTAAAGCAGGGAACTTTACCCAGTATTAATCTGCATAATATATCGGTTCGTTTGGATGCACTTTGTATTTACTAGTTTTCTTATTTTGGTAGAAGGAGTTAATTTCATATTGTTGTTTTATACTTTATATTATAGATTAAAAGAAAATTACCAGAGCCCTCAATATCACCACCTAGGCCTACCACAAGTGATTTAAATGAATTTTTAATATTTCACGATTCCCCTAGAAAGAAGAAGCTAAAGCGAGAGATAGAACAACTTCGATGGAAATCGAAAAAAGATGGGCTAAAGATCAGAAGACTTCAAATGAAAGTTAAACGTTTGAAAAAGAAGGTGCTTATATAGTGACACTACTTTCGCTTCACATACAACTTTAAGATGTTTTTTTTTTCTAAATGTAATACGCTTTAAGTACGTTTCGCTTTTGTTTTAGGTTCAAAATTTAACTGCCTTAATTACAGAATTGGAAACCAAACATCTTTTACAGGGAGAGGATTCCGAAATTTTATTTCAATAAATGTAAAGTTGAAAGACTTGGTTGGCGTCAGTTATCAAAAATTAAAAAAGTTCCTTTGAAAAAGAAATATTCTCCAGCCCTTAGATCATTCGCTTTAACGCTTCATTATTTTTCGCCAAATGCGTACTCATACGTCAGGAAAACTTTCGATACATGCTTACCGCATCCGAGAACCATTTCTAAATGGTATGAAAGTGTCAATGGTGAAGCTGGATTTACAGCTGAGGCTTTTAATGCATTAAAACACAAAATCAACTCATCACGTAAACGTGCTTTGTGTAGTCTTATTATGGATGAGATGGCTGTTAGGAAGCATGTTGAATGGGATGGAAATAAATATCATGGTTATGTTGATCTCGGGCTTAATGACGTACAAAAGGATAACTCGGATCAGGCGTCTCAAGCCTTAGTTTTGTTACTTGTATCTCAAACAGAACGGTGGAAATTACCTGTGGGTTATTTTCTGATTCGTTCTATGACCGGAGAACAACGGGCCTCAATAGTTCAACAATGCCTCTACAAATGCCAAGAAAATGGTGTAGACGTTGTTTCACTTACGATAGATGGTTGCGCTGCAAATATTGCTATGCTTAAAAAGTTAACTTTTAAACACCCTAGTGCTGACTACGAAGTAGCAGTATTCCTCGACGCATGCCACATGCTAAAACTAGTGCGCAATGCCTTTGAAAATAAAAATACTTTTTACGTGGTAGAGCCATGCTGCAGTTATATTAGATGTATAGTTGTAGCACGAATGGGTCGGCTCGACCGGGGAAGGACCACGCTCTCACAGAATACCAGCATGAAATAGTAGCTTAATGCTGCTGTATTTCGTATGGTGAGTGTAGAGAACCGGAGACCCATTTACTGGAAACGAGGCATTCCATCTTAGTCCTCACGGGTGACAACGCATCTGCATTTTGATTCGTAATCGAGGATAGACGTAGATGTCTATGGGCCACAGCAACCACTTACCATCGAGTGGACTGTGTGCTCGTTTGTCACCCTATCCTATATATAAAAAAAAATATAAAAATAAGTTTGTTGATTATCAGGGCAATTATATCGAATGGTCTTATCTCGTCAAACTTAATAACCTACAAAAGTCTGAAGGCCTCCATCTCGGGAACAAGTTAAGAAACAAGCATATACATTTTCAGCAACAAAAAAATGAAAGTAAAATTAGCCAGTCAGCTTTTTAGTAATAGCGTAGCCGACGCACTCCAAGTTTGTGAAAAAAGTAATATTGAATTCATAAATGTGGCGGCTACAATTAGTTTTATCCGTCTAATTAACAATATCTTTGACATTCTTAACTCCAGAAACATGTGTCAGTATAAATTCAAAAAGCCCTTATTTGAAAAAAATATTTCGAAAACAAAAGATTATTTGGAATACGCTAAATATTACTTAATTTTTCTAGTAGCTCCTGACGAAGATAAGCCTGTTATCGCTACAAATCGAAAAACTGGCTTTATAAGTCTTTTAAATCATAGCACACTTTCTTTTTTGTATGACCGCCTGATTGAAAAAGAAAACATACTAAAATATCTAACTCTATACAAATTTTCGCAAGATCATTTAGAACTATTTTTTGGGATAATAAGGGCACATGGGAGGACAAATAATAATCCAACCTCACGTCAGTTTAAAGCAGCTTACAAAAAAACCCTGATAAATACAGAACTGAAAGAAGGTTTCAGAGGAAATTGTATTCCTTTAGAGGATATTTCTATTTTGAATGAATCCTCGGTAAAAAAAATTAATATTACTTCAGAACGTTATCGAATTTTGCAAAATGACATGAGCGGGGAATCATTAGATAGCACGGATGTTACACTTTTCTTGTATGTATATATATGACCTATGCCTGATGATTTACTGTTAGAACTTGATGCGCAATTAAATACAATGATAGGTCATTATTTGCGCCGTCATATTGTTGCATATATTTCTGGGTATGTAGTCAACTATTTACATTCGAGGATCAAATGTGAGACCTGCCTTCGTGAATTATATGCTGATGATTATGATGATGATGACCTTTATTTGATAAAAACTAAAAATAAAGGTGGCCTTACTTTTCCTTCTAAAGATGTCATAAATATATGCGTACGAACCGAATGCAGCATCCGTTGTGTTAAAACACAATCTTTGAATACTCCCAATTTCAGTAAACATAAAATTGTATCGAATACATTAAAGTCTCTTATTGGTCAAGATTATTTCAAACAATCGGTCAATCATATGTTTGACCAATCACCGACTGATAATCATATTATACTTTTAATTAAATGTATAGCTGAAAAATATATAGATATTCGTTTTAAGCATTTTGCTACCATAGAAAACGATAGGGCATCAAACCGACAACAACTAACCAAAACAGTTATTTTTACGGGTAATTGAATTTAAAATAGAATTTAGTACTGTATGTCAGCGAGCGCAACAAAATAATTTAAATAACTTTACGATAGCGTTAATCGAGTTTATGTTTATATATTACTTGTTCTTCCATAGAAATATTAAGTAGTATACCGACACATACATACGACATAATAGTCCAGCCGTTAGTCAGCGTGAAAAAATAACACATTTACAGTACATAATTAGCGTGGGATAAGGTCAAGGAGAAAGAAGGAACACACAAACTTTCGCTTTTATAATATTAGTGAAATTATTAGGATTATTGTTATAGTAGGAGTAGGATTTTTTTTTTCATAATAATATCGGTATTTCAATTTAGAAAAAAAATGTAATTACAAGACGATTCACAAAATTAATCTTGAAATAAATACTCCCTGGTACGAAATTTCTGAATACGTCCCCTTATATCCCACACCAAGCGTAAGGTAGCCTTAACTACATTGCAACATCGATATGGAACGATGCGAGTAGTTTTACTATTTACCGGTAGATGGAAAATAGTTAATAGTTAAGGGCGGCGCTTAATACCCCCTCACCCCGCAAATTGTCACGCGTTGTTACATAGTGAAATCTAATTATAACACCTCCTCTTTATATTTGCTCCGTGGTCTGTTCAGTTGCCTGTATGCTGTCAAATCTGTTGACGATTGCAGCCTCATCTCCCATCTAACAGCCATGAGATTAAGAGTGTGATCGGAGAGTTTTTGTGTTCTTCTGCGGCGGGTCTTGCAGAACTTAGCTCCGACCGCATGGACAGTTTCCACGAGCTTTTAATTCATATCGTCCACTGCGTTGCAATCTTGTAGGCACTGAAAGCGGTTGTGTAACTCGAGCTGAAAGTTTTCGGGATTTTGGATTAGAGCACGAGGGGGACGGAGCGTTGACTTCATTAGACGAGACCTCTCCAACTTAACGTTTAGGTTCAGTGTGCCTCTAACCATTCGGTGATCGCTGCCAGTTTTCACCCTTGCGATCACTGAGACATCACTGAACAGTTGGCGTCTGGTCGTCATAATGAAGTCAATCTCATTTTTTGTCGAACCGTCGGGGCTCGACCAGGTCCACTTCCTGTGGGGCCGCTTCTGGAAGAAAGAGTTCATCATAAAGAGTCCCTCTTTCTCCATAAAGTCGGCCAGCTGCTGGCCCCTTCGGTTCCGTTGCCCTACTCCAAATTTCCCTAACTTCAGCTCACCGTTTTCTCTTGTGCCTAATTTTGCGTTGAAGTCTCCCATCAACACCGTGTAGTGGGTTTTGGAGGAATGCATGGCTTTGGAAATATCCTCATACATTTCCTCCACCTCCTCATCGGAATGTGCCGAGGTTGGTGCGTAAACCTGTATGACCTTCAGCGAATACCGTTTGGTGATTCTGAGTATCAGGTACGCGACCCTCGTCGACACACTCCCAATCTTTACAACGTTGTTGACGAGAGACTTGTGGACGATAAATCCGACACCTCCTTGGGACAGATGGTCGCCCTCCCGGTGATAGAACAAGTTGCCGGATTCGAGAATCACCGTGTCCTCCCCCTCTCTTCGGACCTCGGATAATCCTATAATACTCCAGCGCAACTTGTCTATCTCTTCTTCCAGCTCCAGGATCTTCTCGTCAGTCCTCAGTGTGCGTGCGTTAAATGTTGCCAGGTCGAGTCGTCGTAGGTGGCAACCGAACCTCCACCGGAGATTCTTAGCACCCCCTGCCCCGCCGTTACCATGGTCGCCACCGTAGCCAGGAATAGCGGGGCCGCCGGGGACTGGGGGCCGTCTATTTGTGTAATTGTTCATGGGGGGTATATTGCCATAGTTGCCACGCTTGGCGAGCGGGTTGGCAACCGCAGTTTTTTTTTGTCGTACAGTTGCTGTTATCAGGAAGATGCTGCTGCCCATCTCCTGCCTGTTTCCCTCTGTCGCCTTTTACGACACCCACGGGAAGTAATGGGGTAGTGGATATTCTTAACCGCCACTACACGGCAAACTTTACTTTCTATTGACATCCCTTAATAACCACGGAAAGTCCGCCGTGACAAAAAATATGTAAAGTAATATGGACACTAGCGCGCAGCGATAAAGTTTTATTTAGCTTGCGTGTGCGATTTATCTGATTAATAATAATAATGTAGGCTATTAAATGTCGGTAAGCAGTCGACATCGAAGGAGTGCAACTTCTGTACGTAGTACTATTATTTATTCTGTGCTTTGGCACCCTATCATATAAAAAATACAGCCAATGTTATGTATATATCCATATATCCAAGTGTACATGTCTGCTAACATTACGAGGCTGCAGCCACACAACATGTTAACTCCTGCTACGCCGTGAAACTCAAGAGATATTAATCTCCACAGACCTAATCCTAGATCTATTAAGACATGTAATTCTTCTAGAAGCGGCAAATGGGTACAAAGGTAATACAGATTTCTACAGTATACAACACTTAATTCGCGAAAGAACGTTGATTCCTGCCAAGGATGATACTCGAAACTATTGAAATGAAAAAACATCCCAATTTCAATAGAGATGGAGACTGAGTACTCCACCTGCTTGGGACCCTGTAATTAATAAAATTAAAACTAAACTCAAGCATATCACTGCAAGACTTCAAGACATAGTAAGTTCATTCTGCATAGATCCAAATGTAATAATTAAAAAGCTAAAGGTACCCTGAGTTAACTCGACATCGAGACGTCAATCACCTCAGTCCACCATGTCCATGGGTGCTGTAAAGCACCCGAAATGTTAAAATTAAGCAAATTAAACGCGATAAAATCCGTAAAAGTAGTTTTATTCAACTTAATTATTTTTTATAACCATAACTCTGTCCTTTTCTCTCCCTTCAGCTCTTAAACAGTCCACTGCTTGCATGAGTTTCCTCTATAGTAAGGACATATCATCGTAGTCACCACGCTTTTTGCCACGTGGTAAAATTGTACCTATGGACGAGATGGTTATACCCCCATCTACCAGTGGTCACAAGATCTTCCTCAGAATTTTCAAGTCCATTAGGTTAAAAAGAAAGCCCCCTTTCTGTTCAAAAATTCTTAATGTGTAATCAAGTTCAATTGACTGTGTTACAAGGCGCTAATTCTGCGACAATAGGAGGTACACGATCTATCTATCTATCTATCCATTGAGCTATTATGTATTACGTACTAGAGGCGACACTGCATTTAGTTACGCTATCCCAATCAATTGCGGCGTTATCCCCACACTCTACTCAGACGCTCAGTAGGCGCTAGTGAATTGACACATGTGGATTGATTATATAAAAAATCTCTTGACAAAATATGCCATGTTGTGTTTTTAGATATTGCACAAATATATCAAGAAATGTCAGGAAATACCAAGGAATAACTTTTCATCGGTGAATAAGATACTTCATCAATTAAAAAAAGTATTATAGATTAATAATAAAACAAATGATTCGTTATACGCCATCTCGTGTCATGAAATACAGATTATGAAATTAATTTATTCAGATGCAACATTTCAGTGGGTACTTAAGTCTAGGACGATTATATTATGCAAATTTTTATAGAAACAAATATCGAAAAAAAAAAAACATCATAATTATGCTAAATTTCTTGTGTATTGTATTATAAGTTGCTCATTATTCTTATATTATATTTTTAGGTTTCTATGTCCACGTCAAATTGGAATAAATTCGTCCATTTTTAACTCTCGCGTGCCCAGCATTTATGAACGACTCTTATTCTAATCTAAATAAATATATTTGTAATTTAAATGTTATATTAGTAAGTTTTGTTTAACATACATTTAGTATGTTTTTTTATATTTGACATAGTTACTTTTTTAAATATTCAGATAAAACTCTCATTAAAATGTAATTTAAAATGGCATATACAACAACAACAATTAGCATATACAACATACAAAATAAATAACAAATTTTAAAAATTGTACTCGATAGAATTTATCTAATTAACAATACAATCTATTATTGCATACTAAACATTCTACCTACGTTGTTTTTTCTATGGCAAAAAACCAACCGCGCATGCGCCATACAATTTACTGCGCATGCGCGAAGACATGTGCGCACATATTTTGTTTGATAAAGCTGTTCTAGTACGTAAGTACATGTTACTTCAATGTATCAATCTATTAAATGAAAAAGATATAGTCAACCATACCGTACTTAGATGTAAAGTTTTCCCTAACTCAGTACTAACGTAATTTATATCAAAGGCATTACCTTTATGTAAATCCGACAAAAGAGGAAGCAGTTTTTCCCGTTCATTTATAGCATCAGGTTCATGCTTGTTATAAACATTGAAAAAATCATAAGCCACACAACCCATGTTTATAACAGAACAAATCTTGTTGTTGTCATAGGACTTGTCTTTTAAGATTTCCAGTAGTTTTTGATGCATCATTTGTCTTACTTTCTGTAAAAAATAAAATAGCGAATTTAGAAATAAATTCCTTTTTCCTGTTTTTAGTTTGTTATAGAATAAACTCAATTCAGTTTCCTCGGCAGCCACTAGGAGGTAATCAGAGACTCAGAAAATGCCATATAATCAACAGGCCTAGCGTCAAAGGTGTGAAATATCCGATCCTGCGATCACCAAACACTGTGATTTTACGATGAAAATTCACCCAAAGATAAAGAGCAATGCTAGGAGTGATTTAGGTTGTATTTTATGCGAAAGACTTGGATATTTATTGTGAAATCTAAAATTGTATGTAATATGGTTATTTATAGGTTGTCTGGAAGAAATTGCTGTATAGCAATAAGAGCGCCTTTTGTTTTTCTCTTTGTTTGTTGTTTTCTACTATCTACTGTTATGTTGTTTTCTAATATCTTTCTTTTCTAATATCTACTGTTAGGTTGTTTTCTTAGTATTCAATAAAGGGTATTGTATTGTATTGTATTCATAAAATAAATGGTTGTTGATGATAATCATAAATCAAAAAGATGACATAAATAACATTAATAGATACCACACACATGTGAAGCAGGGGGCGGGTCGCTAGTCATACATAATTGTGCGTCTGGTATGTGAGCCAGCATAATTTTAATGTTTGTTTTTAGGAAAAAGCCTTAGTTGAAAAGTAAACCATTGTGATTGTCAATAGAATTAATTTTCTATTTCATTAAAATAGCTTTGTAATTAATAATTTGTAAGACTAATTAATTTAATACTATGTTATTTAACAGTTCCCCGTCCGCGACATAAATACAATAGTTAAACAATCGAAATGTTCACATATTTTTAGTTAATTAAGAAAAACTTACACCAGCAAAAGCTGCAGGGTCAACTATTAGGAACACACCGTCTCTTATCTCTGACACTTCTTTATTCCAAGAACTCATCAAAAGCATAGAATGATGACTCTCTGGCGACATAATTAATGCTGGTACTAGATGTGGGTCCAAGGCTTCCAGACTAGCAAGATTGCTACGAAGGGCTAAAATCCCTAAAAAGTATGCAACAGAAAAATAACATTTTCCTGATCAGTCAATCAACGGAGTCAAACATATCATTTTGTAAATAGGTACTTAGTCTTTTATTAAAAATCACTATCTAAAGGATATTATTTGTTCTGTATATTTGTTTTAACTTTGTTGTAATGTCTTTTTTTTCCGATCCTGTCCGTCCATTAGTTGTCTGGGATATATACAGGGTATGGCGTAAAGAGTGGATATATCAGTTCAGTGGTAGAGCCACGCGGCAGCTTTGCTGTTGCACGTATGGGCCGGCTCAAACCGGGGTGGTACCACGACCTCACAGAATACCGGCGTGAAGTGGAAGCTCTGCTTCCGCGTTTCGTCTGGTGAGTGCAGGTGGCCGGAGGCCCAAACCCCCCCCCCATCAACATGGTAGCGGAATTAAATGATAATAGACTACCCCAGGAGGGTACCAGCACCGCAGGAGAATCCCTCGCTGAGCATCCACGATCATGTTTCTCCACTTCTGAGCGTGGGTGCTGAGGCTGCCCCGCGTGGGGGGGGCAAAATTCCGCTCAAGACTACAACTGCTCGGGGCAAACGGAGCAACAAAACCAAGGCGACCCCTGCCACGCTGTCCGTGAATTTCTGCAATATCAGGGGACTTCACTCTAACCTAAACGCCGTCCACTACCATCTCGAGACGGCGAGGCCGGCTCTGCTCTTTCTGACCGAGACGCAGGTGTCCTCTCCGGCTGATGTCTCGTATCTCTGCTACCCGGGGTACAAACTGGAACACTCCTTTGTGCCTTCGGGCTGGAGTTTGCGTTTACGTCAGAGAGGACATCTGTTCTCGACGCCTCGGCAGACTTGAAGGTTCGGACCTGTCCATCCTTTGGCTACGCGTAGACAGCGACGACCATCCGCGCGTCTACGGGTGCCTCTATAGGTCCTATAGCGGTAATGCCGAAACAGACCGACTCTTCGACCACGTCCAAATGGCTACAGATTCGTTGCTACAGCAGATTCCCCTCCGCAGAGATCGTGATCCTCGGCGACTTTAACGCCCATCACGCCGAATGGCTTAGTTCACGTTTAACCGATCATGCGGGGGAGATCAGTTCATGATTTTGCCTTGGCATATGGTCTGACACAACTGGTTACTTCGCCTACGCGGATTCCAGATGTGAAGGATCCTGCACCTTCCCTGTTGGACCTTCCGCTGACCTCTCACCCGGATGGATATCAGATTTCCGTTGACGCCCCTTTAGGCTCCTCGGACCATTGTCTTGTTCGGAGTGTGGTGCCACTCACGCTGAAATCGCAGTTGCAATCTGCAGGCTGCCCGTCGTGTTTGGCACTATTGGTCAGCCGATTGGGATGGGATGCGGTCTTTCTTTGCATCCTACCCTTGGGGGCGGGTTTGCTTCTCGCCGGACGATCCCAACGTTGTTGCGGATTCTGTCACTGATGTGGTACTTCAGGGTATGGAACTTTTTATTCCTTCCTCTGTGGTGCCCATTGGAGGCAAATCTCAGCCATGGTTTGGTCGCTCCTGTAAAATAGCATCATGCTATAAGCAGGAGTGCTACCAAGCCTGGCAGCGTCAGCATCAGCGTCCCGGGATGTAAACACCAGCGCTCTAAAAAAGAAGTATAATTCCGCCTCTAGGTCCTTCAAAAGAGTCATTGCCAAGGCAAAGTCAGAGCACATAGGCATAATTAGCGAGAAACTAGTCCACCTTCCTTCTGGAACCCGTGCATTCTGGTCTCTCGCCAAGGCTGTCCAGGGGAATTTCTGTCATCCATCTTTTCCACCTGCACAGGGAGGACAACTCACTGACCCATACCGCAAAGGAGAAAGCCGATCTTCTAGGGTCTTTCTTTGCGTCCAACTCGACTCTAGATGACGGGGGGAAGTACGCCGCCGACCATCCCGCGGTGTGAGTGCTCCATGCCGGAAGTGCAGTTCACACAGCGCTCGGTTCGCAAAGCACTCCTCTCCCTGGACATTCACAAGTCGAGTGGGCCTGACGGAATCCCCCCAATTGTGCTGAGGACGTGTGCTCCAGAGTTGGCACCGGTTTTAACGCGTCTTTTCCGGTACTCCTACTCACTAGGCGTAGTCCCAAAATCATGGAAGACGGCTTTCATCCACCCGATCCCTAAAAAAGGCGACCGCTCAGACCCGTCCAACTACCGGCCTATCGCCATCCACCTCCTTGTTCTCCAAAACAATGGAGTCCATTGTAAACTGCCAGCTCATGAGGTACCTTGAGGATCACCAGCTGATTAGTGACCGCCAATACGGTTTTCGCCGTGGTCGGTCAGCTGGTGATCTTCTGGTCTACCTAACTCACAGATGGGCGGAGGCAGTAGAGTCCAAGGGGGAGGCATTGGCCGTTAGTTTGGACATTGCGAAGGCCTTCGATCGGGTTTGGCACAAAGCGCTTCTTTCGAAGCTCCCTTCCTATGGGCTTCCCGAGAAATTGTGCGATTGGATCACCAGCTTTCTTGCAGATCGGGGCATCAAGGTCGTTGTAGACGGTGCAAGCTCCGATTGCAAGCCTATTAATGCTGGTGTTCCACAAGGCTGCGTGCTATCGCCAGCGCTGTTTCTTCTGCATATCAATGATATGTTGCAAACCCGTAACCTTCATTGCTATGCAGATAACAGCACTGGTGATGCTTTTTACACCGGCCGAGCCAATATTTCTCGGGAAAACGTCTCCGAATGCCGGGACAAACTTGTGTCTGAAGCCGAGTCTTTGCTGAACAGAGTCTCGGATTGGGGGCGACTAAATCTAGTCCAGTTTAACCCCCAGAAGACAGAAGTTTGCGCGTTAACCGCTAAAAAGAACCCCTTTGTCGTATCTCCTCAGTTTCAAGGCACTCCCCTTGTTGCCTCAGCCAGTATCGGAATCCTCGGCGTCGACATATCGAGTGACATGCAGTTTCGTGGTCACTTGGAAGAGAAGGCCAAATTGGCCTCTAAAAAGCTTGGCGTGCTCAGCAGAGCGGGACAGTATTTCATGCCGGCACACCGCCGGGACTTTACAAGGCGCAGGTTCGGCCGCACATGGAATACTGTTCCCATCTCTGGGCTGGGGCTCCCCAGTACCAGCTCCTTCCACTTGACCGCATCCAGCGCAGAGCGGCTCGAATCGTCGACGACCGAGTGTTTTCCGATCGGCTCGATTCACTGGCACTGCGAAGAGATGTTGCATCTCTTTGCATTTTCTTTCGCATATACCATGGAGAGTGCTCTGAGGAATTGTTCGGATTAATCCCAGCCGCCAAATTTCGTGAACGCACTACGCGGCAAACGTCGCGATACCATCCACATCATCTGGATGCTTGGCGGTCCACCACTGTACGTTTCAAGAGGAGTTTTCTTCCGCGTACAACCTTTCTGTGGAATAGTTTACCAACAGCAATTTTTCCGGACCGATACGACCTGGGGACCTTCAAGAAAAGAGCGTACTCCTTTCTAAAGGGCCGGCAACGCACCTGCAATTCCCCTAGTGTTGCGGTTGATCATGGGCGGCGGTAGTCACTTAACATCAGGTGAGCCGCATGCTCGTTTGCCCTCTCTTCTATAAAAAAACCTACGGGTGGGGGACATCATAACTGCTCAGGAATTAAAAATAGTATCCGGTAAAAGTCAAGTTATGAGACATTTTCGAAATGTTCATATATCTCGATCACTCAGGTAATTTTACGTTCACCTGAGTGACCAAGTAATTAATAATTTGCCTACTACATTGAATTTCAGAAATGGTATAGCACTTGGTTAGAAATACCAAGTGCTTCAATTCAAAGAGTATTCTTGTTAAGATTGATCAACGTCTATTTTATTCAAAATGCTTAGGCCAGTAAACTCATACCCGGCCCTTATACTACCTACCCGCGCTAGCACCGATGGTGGGACGGCGACGGTGGAACCTCCCGTCCTTTTCTTTCACACAACGTGTAAAAAAGATAGCTAACGACGATATTGTTCTTTGTTATGAGTCCCACATTCCTACCTGTTGTGTGGTTCAAGGGATTGGAAGCTTACTCGCGCCAGGGTGCAATCATACTATTTCCGTGATATAACGTATTGTTAAGAGCTTGAGGTTCGTGACAATAAAAATTGCCGATAAAATTACCTAAATTAACACTTTAATTTACTTTACACAAATTAAAACTTAAAACACTAATAATTAAACACACTAATTCACTTTATTCCGCTCCGAAGCTTCGCTTGTCTCGCCAAATCCAATACTGCCTCGATCGCATCTTGCAGCGCCTATATATATATATATAAATTAGCAAAGAAATATCCAGAATGTTCAAGTAAACACGCGCAAGGTACCGAGAGTTCGAGTTTTAAACTTCAAGAAGTTTAGTTCTTCGGTTCGAGACTAGATGGCGCTAGTGCCGTCGAGTTGAGCGCGTAACACTGCCCCCTCCTAAGACATGCTCGTCCCGAGCATTATCGGCCCCATAATAACGCGCTAGGCGATCCACATGGACGATCTTAGGAGTCCCTCTTGCGCCTTTCTGTATCCGGTAGGTTACATCGTTGATCCTGGTCACAATCCGGTACGGGCCGTCCCATTTAGCTTGAAGCTTAGGAGATTTCCCTTTGCTGCGGACTGGATTGTGCAACCACACAAGTGAACCTTCGTCGAACCCTTTGTTGTTCATTTTGCGGTCGTACCGGGTTTTCATCTTTTCAGACATTTGTTGGCCCGATTGTCTGACGTGCTCATAAACGTCATTCATTTTGTTCCGCAAGTCATTTGCATAATCGGTTATACTGCGTGGAGCATCAGGTTGTATCCCGGTGATCAGGTCTGCAGGCAGCCGTAATTCTCTTCCAAAGTTTGCGAAAGCTGGTGTCACTGATGTACTTTCGTGAACAGCACTTCGATATGACAACAAAAACGGTTGTATGTGCTTGCCCCAATCTCGTTGCCGATTGTCTACAACTTTTGCTAGGTACCTCTCCAATGTCTGATTAAATCGTTCTACCATTCCATCAG